CCGGAACCCCAGCTCTGACGCTGGATGGCTGCGTTCCCATCTGCGCTACGGTCCTCACGGTACCTGGGTTTTGTCGTCTGCGGAAACGGACAGCGTCCCACCGCAGAGGACCGGGGTGCGAACGAGAGCGAGCACGCAACGCGCCTGCAGCTCACGCCTGGGCCTCCGACGCTGCTCCGAAAACGTTATTTTTTGGGGTGGGACCGTGTTTATAACCACATGCTCAGCTTTCCGGCGTGGGTGAGCATGACACCCACGCTGCGGACGATGTCGCGCTTTCTGTGAATGGGTCGGATCTTAAGGAGAAGGGGAGAGAGTGGGCGGGGGAGGCCGGTGTGAACGGAGCAGAAACGGGAGTTTTGTCTGTCGTGATGCGCGACAGAAACTCGCGAGTGGCAACCAAGTCTGCCAAAGACACCTCGCTGCCGACACCTGCGAGGCGGCTCGAACTGACAATCGGGGGTGGGAAAAGTGAGGCGCCAACAGCAATGGTCACTTCCGGTGCATCCCCTCGGTGCCAGGGACTTCATGCCTTCATCCTCGTTTAATTTTCACATGTGCCCATTTCGCAGAGGAGGAAACTCGAGCTCAGAGGGAAAGCCAAGGCCAGCCGGCTGGTGGACGTTAGAGCCGGGATCTGCCCCAGGCCTCGCCCCAGTATCAAGGTCCTTCTTCCTGCCACTCGTCAGAGACCCTCTCACCACCTGCCCGGTCAAGCAGGTCAGCTCCAAACAAAGGACTTTAGGAAAAGCATGACGCTCGCCGCCACACCCGCACCTCAAACGCAGGGACACCGCGCGGTCCGGCCCGGCCACCTCACCTGGGCTCCCGGTTCTTCCGCACCAGGCTGACGAAGGTGTCGATCTCGGCCGCGGTGATGTGCTTCTCCAGCAGCTTCCGGTTATTGTGCAGCAGGGCGGTGATGGTGTCCTCGGCCAGCACGTCATAGCCGATCTGCTTCTGCATGAAGCCAAACTGCTTGGCGATGTACTCCTTCAAGGGAGAGAGAGAGGGAGGTCGGCCGGGGACCGTGGGCAGCACACTTAGCTGAAAGTAAGGAGAGCCGGCGGCGTGCCCGGGGGAGGGGGCGCCCTGTCCTGAGGGACGGCACCCGACAGCCCCCCACAACCCTCCCCGGCAACGGCTGTGCACCCCCTCGGCCTCGGTTTCACTCAGCCTGCCGCACAGACGTAATCTGGCAAAATGTCCCGTGTGTGCGGATGGCCCTTTTATTAAGTGCATGAGATAAATTTTAATGTGGTGACTTATTTTTCTAAAAGGTCAGAAGACGTTTTGGGCTCTGATGTCATTCCTAATTCAAGAGGATCTGACTGTGCTGTGCTGCTGATTAAACATGGGTTTTTAGAACAATGTAAGCGCATTTCCTTTTCTTTATCTGGGGTAGGAGCTCGTTTTTAAAGTCAATGGGCAACAGAAGTCAGTCAGGACACGCAAGCTGGTCAGCCATGTTCACAGAACACATGACGACGTCTCTGGCTTCTCTGTTTGGGGGTGAGACATCACATTCCACGGAAACACGAGAACTCAAGGAAGCCTCTTACAAACACTAGTTTGTAGGCAAAGATCGTTCCCAGACCAAAATAATCTGCTGGCTCAAAGTTTAAGTGGCCTTTTTAAAAGATCAATTCCAAAATCTTGGACTCTCTCTAGACAAACAAGGTGGACGGGGCCACTTCTCGGCCGCACACGATGAGGATGAGGGTGTGGGACTTCGTCAGCCCTCAGGCACAGACTGCTGCCATCCGGCACAGGGTCCGCGAACGGCCAGGGGAGACTTCGACGACGCAGGAGGGAACCGCCAGTCTCCTCACGTACAAGCAAAACGTTCTAGGGCGCACGACAGCTCTGAGCTGTCCTTGGAAGGAGAGAACACAGAACCTCTCTGGCCCTATCGGGGTGTGGGGTCAGCATGGGGAGGTGGACGCAGAGCAGGCAGAGTGCCCGGGGTGGACGCGGCGGCACAGCTGCCCATGTGGAGCCTCGCGCTTAAACAGCAGCGACGGCAGAGTCGAGCGCTCAGAAACCCTTGCTGGCGAGGTGATACGCGATACCGCAGAGCTTTGCTCAGGATCGACACCATCTTTATGATGACCAGACAAAACGCTGACTACAGGGGAGAGCTTAGACTGAAAGGCGTCAACGGTGTGACGGAGGAACCCTTCCGCAGCACCGGGCGGGGCCTGGGGGCAAAGTGCCAGCCGGCGTCGTGCGGGCAGCTGTGGGACAGTCGCCCCATTCCCGCGGTCCCGCCTTCCGCAGCTTCAGCCACCCACGGTCAACTGCAGCCCCGCAGTATTACGTGGAAATCCCCCAAAATAAACAATCCGTACGTTTTGGGCTACGTGTGGTTCTGAGTAGCCTGATACGATCTCACACTGTCCCACCCCGTCCTGCCTTTGTTCAGAGTATCCACCTGCCCGCGAGTCCCTCGGGCGGCCTTCTCAGGTATCAGAGAGACACGCCATGGTCACGTAAGCTTTATTACGGCATATTGTTATTATTATTCCACTTAATATTACTGTCAATCTCCTACTGTGCCTAACGCATAAACTCTATCATAGGTACGCACACACAGGACAAAACAGAGCACACGCATAGAGTTTGGTATTATCCGTGGTTTCAGGCAGCCACTGGGGCCCTAGATGAGGGGGTGGACTACACTCTGTAGCACACGGATTCTCAGCCTTGGCACCACCAATTTCTGGGCCACATAAGTCTGTTTTGGGGGGGGTGTCCTGTGTACCGCTGGATGCTTAAGAGCATCCCTGGCCTCTACCCACCCGATGCCCAGAGCACCCCCAAGCTGTGACACTTAAGAGTCTCCGACATTGCCCAACGTCCCCTGGGGAACAAAATTAAATTACTCCCAGTTGAGAACCACTCAATGCAGGGACACAGTCTCCAGGTTTCCTTGGAATCTCAAATGGTTTGGAAGCCCAAAGACGTCGGGACGTTCATTTCATGGGAGCACGTTGTTCGCGTGTGTGTGCGTGTGTGTGCGTGTGTGCGTGTGAGGACGTTCATTTCATGGGAGCATGTTATGTGTGTGTGCGTGTGCGTGTGTATGTGTGTATGCGTGTGTGTGTGTGTGCGTGTGCATGTGCGTGTACAGTCACGATACAGAGAATGACTCAGAATGCCAGGAAACATGAGCCAGAACCAAAGTAACGAGAAACGGCCAGCGGAGACGGAGAAAAGGCCAGAGGCAGGAAGAACGGACTCCGCCCTGTCTTCGTTACACACACAGAACCTGGTCCCTGAGCCTTAAGGGAACACGCCGTAAGAAAACACCACGGAGGTAACACCAGCAGCAGGAAAAGGCCGCTCGTCGCAAGGTGCTGCAGAAGGGAATTCTCATGGACACTCCTCGGGGGCTCTGAGACATCTTCCCGCGCTCCAGACAACGCTTCCTTGGTAAGAGCAAACTTAACCATGAACTACTCTCCAGTCGTCAAATAAACAGACACGCGACACTTAAGACCCGCAAGGAAAGCACGTGAACTTGAGGGGGGACGCCCCCCGCCCCCAGCAGGCCTGGGCCCCAACCTGGTTCTTCCTGTAGTCTTGCTGCGAGTGCCTCAGGACCCGGTAGCAGAGGCGGCAGATGTGTCTGAAGGGCGCGTGCCGCTGGTCCCCGAGCTCCTCCAGCCGCAGCATCGGGCCGTCCCCGCAGTCCGTGAACGGGGCCTGCAGCAGCTTGAAGATCTGTGTGTGGAAAGTAAGCGCAGAAACGGTCAACGCCGAGGGTTTAAGGACTCGTAGCGCTTCGTCTGGAAGTAACGTGACATCAAGGCTGGCCGGGCCTCACGGGAAAGCCTGTCTGTACACATCAGGACCCGGGACACTGCGCCCGCTCCGCCCACTGGGACGGGCTACTCCCCGAGTCCAGGTCCCCTGGACCGAGCCGGCCCTCAGGCGCCGGGAAGAGCGCAGGCTCGGGAGGCAGGAGATCTGGGCTGACCGCGCAGGGCCCTGTTGCTCCCTAGCGCCCTGAACCAGCGTCAGGGTGACCTTCGGTTTTCTCTCCAGTAAACTGGAAGAATGACGCCTCTCCTGCAGGGTGTCGTGAGGATGAAAGCAGATGACTGTCTGTGGCATGAGCACAGCGCGCGGCCAACGTGTAAACCGCTGGACGCCGTTTGCTCTTGCACCGGAAACCCTGGGTGACACACGGTGGAGTGCGCACAAGGTCTGCCTGTCGCGGGCTGGCAGGGGAACCCTCGGTGACACACGGTGGAGTGCGCACAAGGTCTGCCTGTCGCGGGCTGGCAGGGGAACCCTCGGTGACACACGGTGGAGTGCGCACAAGGTCTGCCTGTCGCGGGCTGGCAGGGGAACCCTCGGTGACACACGGTGGAGTGCGCACAAGGTCTGCCTGTCGCGGGCTGGCAGGGGAACCCTCGGTGACACACGGTGGAGTGCGCACAAGGTCTGCCTGTCGCGGGCTGGCAGGGGAACCCTCGGTGACACACGGTGGAGTCACAGGGTGCCGTGAGGATGAAAGCAGATGAGCACAGTGCATGGCCAATGTGTAAACCACTGGACACCATTTGCTCTTGCACCGGAAACCCTGGGTGACACATGGTGGAGTGCGCACAAGGTCTGCCCGTCGCGGGCTGGCAGGGGAACCCTGGGTGACACACGGTGGAGTGCACACAAGGCCTGCCCGTCGCGGGCTGGCAGGGGAAAGGCTTCCCAAATCTCGAGCTGCAGTGGAGAATGGGGGGACTGAACTATGCCCTACATTTAGGGCGTCAGTGGCCAGGAGTTTCCAGCCCAGCTCACGGCCCCTTCGCCAATCGCTTTACGGGATTACGTGGTGTGCGTGAGCGTGCACCTCAGCTACCCTGGACTTGTCGCCTTCCTCCCTCACATCTGACAATCTCCTCAGATTTATACCAGGCAATACCACCTCTGCATCCCCCGCAAGCCATTACTCTTCCTTCACGGCGAGATTCTGTGATTTACAGCGTCAGGCAAATGACTTCTCGTGCTGGGCGTGACCGACGCCGTCCTGAGAAGCGAGCTGCTCTCAGGGACCGCTGGTTCGTGCCGGGAGGGTGGCTCCGTGTCTCGCGAAAGGCACGTTCTCACGCAGGTGCGGAGGCCCACCAAGCTGTTACTGCCCGGGAGCACACAGCCTGACAAGCCCGTGCCACGGGGCGACGAGCCGCCGGTGCTCCCGGAGGCTGTACACGTCAGGGCCCACCCCGGTAAGTCCCCTTCTTAAACTCTCCAGTCCTGGAATCGCCGGCCTCCTCCTCCAACCCCATCCCGCTAGGGAGGTCGGTCCCAGCACCGACACGTCCCTGTGAGAGCCTTGCGGCCCGAGTTCATCCTTCTCGAATCTCCCAGACGCACGAAATAACCCGAAGGACAAGAGCTCTTGACGTTATTTTTGAGGAAAATAAAGTCATCTGCTGAACACGCCTCGGAGCTCCTCACATCGGAGCTCCTCACAGAAAAATTCTCTACCAGTGTGTTTCCAACTGCCCTGAGCTACCAAGCCACAAAGACTCGCTGGCAGGGCTACAGACTGCGTGCCTCCCACGACAGGACACTGTGGCAAAGGCAGCTGTGACACAGTGGCCGCCAGGAGTCGGGGGAGGGAGGAGGGACAGGCGAGGCCCAGAGGGTTAGAGAGCGGTGACCCTGCTCTGTGTGACGCTAATGGTGGCTACGTGTCACCGGACATTTGTCCAAACCCACGGAAAGTGCACCATCCAGAGTGAGCCCTGATGCGAACTCTGGCCTTTGGGTGATAATGACGTGTCTGTGCAGGCTCCTGAGCTGTAACCCACGTGCCATCTGGCGGGGGACACTGGTAACGGGGGAGACTGTGTTTATCAGGGGTGGGGTTTGGGGTACACGCGAACTCGGTGCTTCCCACTCACTAATGCTGCCAACTGAAAACCGCTCTGAAGAACGAAGCCTGGTTTGTAAAAGGCGGCGGCTGATCGAGGCGTCCGAGGGCGGCGACCGCCCTGCCCTTACTGAGCGGGCCCGGCCCGGCCCGCCACCTCACCCACCTGCTTGAGAATGTTCTGCTCTCTCATCAGCTTCTGCCGCTCCCTGTTGGGCTTGGAGAACACCACCTCGAGGACGTCCTGCCCAGAGTTGGTGCCGCCCGTGACGAAGTAGACCAAGTCTTCCAGCAGCTTGGTGACTGACCTTAGGGGGACAGAAGCCGACAGAGATGACTGCGCTCAACGCCGGAAGCTCCGCCGAGGAAGCCCCGGGCCCAGCGACCAGTTACACGAGCCGGCCGCTCCTCCCCACGTCCCCCGAGCTGCCGGCCGAGGCCCGCGACAGACAGAGTGAAACAGCGACTACACGTCACTGTCCACAAAAGAACAATCACCTTTACAAAACATCAGCCTCCAGATTTTATCTGAGTTATCTCGGCTGGACATCTAGTAAGGCGGCCCCAGGGGCCGAGGTGGAGACCGAGAAAGAGAAAAAGATCTTTACGACGTCAACGACTTTGAAAAAAGTGAACGCGAAGGCAACCGTTTCTTGAGAGCCACCAGTTTGTGCATCCGTGAATGCCAAGGCCGGCCCTTCCCCCCCTCAGCTGCTCTGAGAGCTGCCCCTCCGTGCGAGGGAGCGGAGAACCCGTGGCAGAGGCCCTCACCTCCTTTCGTTCTGGGTGATGGTGCCTTTCTCCAGCTTCCCGGCTATGGAGCCCAGCACCTTGCTGGCGTCGTTGGCAAAGTCCAGGTCCCGAACCTCAGCAGGAGAAACAGGGACGATGGCAAACGCCTCCTTATCCTCCTTCACGGGGGAGGTGCCGATCTGAAACGCAAGGTGGCCTTTGTGGAACGGCCTCTCGGACTGAGAGGTAAGACACCAAACACTATATCTATGAAACATCGGGAAGTCCAAAAAGCTTGGCGCTATCCTGCAGTGAAAATCAAGGAAGATTTTCACTGGACGTAGGGAAACATCTGGAAGAAAGTACTCCAGATCATTAACAGCTGTTACCTCTGGAACTAGTGTCGTGGGAACAGCGAGGCAGGAAACAGGGGCACTATTAAAATTTAAAGCTTCATTTGTTACAAGGAGCACTTAAGACTCTTATAATTCAATACACATTTATAAATACACGGGGACGAGCAGATACATAAAATGGTAACTGACTCCAGCTGACAGTATCGTAACGGCAGACACTGTACCATTCTCTCAGCTTTTCTATATACCTAAAAATGTTCATACAAGTAGAAAAAATTTTCTAATAACTTCCCCCATGACCAAAAAAAATGATGTGAGAGCATCATTCCAGTTTTTGAAAAGAAAACCCCTACACCTATGTATTTACACTCTATGATCCTGGAGAAGGGGAAGGAGAGAACTAAGATTCGGGGAGGGAAATTAAAGGGGCTGGGAGAACTTCGGAGAAATAAAAGCGGCTATTTAAGTACGTCAAGCAATAAAGAAATATGAAGATTGGGGGAAATCGACTAGTGTCCGATGGACCTTAAGGCACCAGTAAACATCCCCTCAGCCAAAACCATGTTTCAGACAGACGGGAAACCCAGGCAGCTGCTCAAGCTTTAGGGCAAAGCCACGGAAGAAAATGAAAAGTTCTGGCCATTTCAAAAGCCCTGGACTCGCTTTAGCCAGGTATCTGGGAGAGGAGTCTTTCATCGCATCGAAGTTTGTCCATGAACATGCTCTGGCCGAAGAGACAGAACCTCCCAGCTGCACGCTGCCCCCTCTGTCCTCCAAGGTGACCTTTCATCGGGAGTAGGCGGCTGGGGGATGGCAGGGGGGTAGCTAGCGACTTACTTTCAGCATCACGGGTTTTTCTTCCTCCTTGTCGATGGGGATGTTCGTGCTGTGAACCCAGGTGTTAGTACACAGGTGTCTAAGCCGGACATAGGAGTTTCTAGAATAAAGAAAGGATTCGGGGACAGGAACGTTTAGGTTTTCCATCACCGCCTGCCTAGAATATATTCTATCACAGTAAAGGGGGAATCCGAATGGTGTCCTATGGATACTGGGAGGTATAAACCGCAGTGCAGATGGCTCTGGTCCCAGACACATTCTGACGTATTTACAACAGCAAAGCATGCTCACGGACTCTAAGATGATTGCGATATGCTGCGTTTCTAATAAGATTATCTCCAGTGAATGAATATCTCAGAACAAATGGAGCATGAGACAGAGTAACAGGAAGTATTGACTGTGTGTGTGTGTGTGTAAATAATACGAAGTTGAAAAAAAATGACAACCTGAGAAAATGAAAGAGTAATATATAGCATAAAAGGGTTATTAAACCACAAATACAAAGAAATCTTTAAAATCATTAAACATGAACACTGGAAACGAAAATGGGATAATGACACAAACCAGTAATTTAATAAAGCAATATAAATGGCCAAGAAACTTGGAGATGTATATACAACCTCCTCAGCACACAAATTATACACATTAAAACGATGTAAGAGTTTATTGTTTCACATTCCAAGGATCTTGGAGACGGATAGAACCCAGTGTCGACCAGGACTTAGTGACACGGTTCTCTCCCAGACTCGCGGTGGGAGTGTAAACAGCTAAGGCTCTGGAAGAGAGTCTGGCACTTTGTGTCACAGGCGAAATGGACTTATCTTTTCATTTCGCGATCCCGATTTTAGCTTCTTCCCTCAAGAGATGACAGCACAGGTGCAAACGGAGGCTGAAGGTGTTCAACAAAGCACTCCTCACGACAGTAAAAACTCATAAACAATCCAACGTCTCAATAATGGACTAATGATAGTATATGCAATAGAATATGTACAGAACGTATTGCTCAGTGAAAAAAAATCGATAGTATATGCAATAGAATACTACGCAGTGATCACAACTGATATTCACTTTACTTGGAAATATGTACAGAACGTATTGCTCAGTGAAAAAAAATAAAAATAGCTTACGATCCGAGTCACAAGAAATTATATGCAGGTTATTTGTGTGCCTAGAGACCCATCTGAAACTACACAAACCAAAACATTAACAGTCGTTATCTCTGAATGGTTGACTTTAATGTGTTTTTTACTTGCTTCTTTGTTCCCCACGATATTTTAAAACATTTTTGTTGTTGTTTCTTTTTACAGTGACCGTGGATCGTGCCACACTGTTTTTTTTCCATTTCGCTTTCCTTTTAAAGAAACAGTAGAAAGAACGGCACAATTCCCGTGTGTTAGGATCTCCCATCCCATGAGGGAGACGAGGCGAATGTGCAGCAAGCAACAGCGGCTCACAGAAAAGGCCCATCAAAAAGCATGAAGCTGCGAGACGGTCAAGCGAAGCACGGAAGGCCTTCTAGAAGGAGGCGTCGAGGAGGCTTCAGATGGCCGGGGAGGGTTTTTACTGTAGAAAACTTGAGCTAGAACTTGAAGCACTGGTGGGACGCGGCAGAGAGGAGATGGGCGGGCGGAGGGCGGCGGCACCGCACCGGGCACCTCTCTGCAGGGCGCCCTCTGCCTTCCCCCTTCCTTCACCGGCCCGAACGTTACAAGTAAGGGCGACGGAAGTGACCTTCACTTTCAGCTAGCGTGGATATATATTAAACGACACGAACAAGAAATCTGACAGAGCTGCCACTTTTTCTGAGTGACGTGGCTCGCTTTCTTATTTTCAAAGGATACCCACAGCATGGAGCTTAGCTTTTCATCGGATGACTGCATCCTACGGCCTCCTATGTCAAATAACATCGAAGGCACGAAGGGCGGTCTGCCAATCCGTCTGAAGCCCCACTCCCGACGCTTCCCCCAAAGGCCCCGCGAGTGGCCCAATCACAAAAGAGCCACGAAGTTGGTTGCTTTCCCGATGTCCATCTAACTCACCTAATTAACAAATACTGCGATTTTATTATCTCGTTTAGTACGTCTGGAGTTTACCATTATCCCTTTCACTTTGGCTGGGAAGGAAAATTTTAACCAGCGACCATCACAAAACCTCCTTTGCTGGGACATTCATATATCTACACCCAGGCTTTCTGATCTTTACACAAGCAAAACTTAACATAACTTTAAGATGGAGAAAATGAACACACTGCTGTCTTAGCGCTTTTTTTTTTTTTTCTTATGACTCCGCAGGATCAATGAATAAGAGGTCCAGCTCATGTTTAGCTCTGAGGTCAGTGGTCAAGGGCAAGAATGGACAAAGATTAAAAAGCCAAGATCGAGCCCAAGATGAGAGCTGGCAGTGCACACGCTAGGCGACCACACTTTTCCCACGGGAAACACAAAGCTTCCCCTTCTGACGAGTTTAGAATTGGTCCACCGTGGACAGCTGTCCACCAAGGCAGGTTTTCAACAAAGAAAACATAATGAATGGAGGGGACGTGGGAGCAGGGGTCTCTAACCAGCCAGAGCCGCTTGGCCAGATGACCCAGAGCTTAAACTTCCCCTCCACCCAGGACGATGGGGATCCCGGCCCACTGGGGAACGTGGCTTCATCGCCAAGGGAAGGCCATGAAGCACCTTCTGATGCAACAATGTTTTAAATCACATGGTTCTGTTGTTTAGTATCTCTTACAAAGTAGAACATTTAGCAAATAGTATAAATGTCACTCCCCTGTCTTCTAGAAACCTAAAAAGCTCATTCAGTCACTTTCAGAATAGAGGGCATGACATATGGAAAATTATTTGAACTGAAATGCAGTTGGGTTCTACCGACCTGTACCTAACTAGCCAACAAGCAGGCAGTCAACAAGGAAGGAAGCTTTTAAAAGGCAAACTACCCTACTACAAACCTTACTAAAAAATAGTCTCAAAATGGATCATGGACTTTAAGTGTAAAAAGCAGAACTATAAAACTCTGAGAAGAACGCAGCTTTGTGGCCTTGCATTAGGCAATAATTTACTTAAGAAAGAAACCAAAAGCATGAGCGATCAAAGGAAAAATAAACTGGACTCT